CAATCAGAAATGATGAGTTTGTGTCGTTTGTAGGGACATGTATGAATCTGGAGAACATCATCCTCAGCAAACTGACACAAGAACAGAAAATGAAACACCGCATATTCTCACTCATAGGCGGGTGATGAAAAATGAGAACACATGGACACAGAGAGGGGAGTACTAAACACTGGGGTCTATTGGGGGGAAAAGGGGAGGGCCAGTGGGAGGGGGAGGTGGGGAGGGATAGCCTGGGGAGAAATGCCAAATGGGTGAAGGGGAGAAAGGAAGCAAAACACACTGCCATGAGTGTACCTATGCAAGTGTCTTGCATGTTCTGCACATGTACCCCAAAACCTAAAATGCAATAAAAAATTAAAAAATAAAATAAAATAAAATATTCTGTACCAGTTGACTCAATAGTTCTACTGCAGGAAATCTATTCTAAACAATCTTAAAGTCACAAGATTTTGTAGAAAGATATTTATGACAATGTTATTTTTAATATTAATATAATAGAGGGGATGGTAAACTATGGTAATTTGCAGCCATTAAAACCTTTTACAAAGCATTTGTAATAATGGAGAAACCTTTACTTCATAATGTTGATAGAATAAAGAAAATGCTCCATTTTATACAAGGTATGCTCAGCCTGCATTCAATAAAGCCTGAATGTATTTGACAATATTAAGGAATATTGTTACTTTAAAAATCTGATCTTATCATCTTGAGATATATTCTTAAGTGTTGAGGGAAATTGAATAATGTGGGATTTTCCCAGTTGGAGTAAGGGTGGCTATTCCTGCTTAGAAGAAAGAATGGACCTTGTGTGGTCACTTGACAGGTGGTAGGTTCATTTTTCTTTCTCCTTTTTATTTTATTTTTTTAAATTTAAGAGACAGGGTCTGGCTCTGTTGCCCAGGCTGGAGTGCAGTGGCACCATCATAGCTCACTGCAGCCTTAAACTCCTGGGCTCAAACAATCCTCCCACCTCAGCCTCCCAAGCAGCTAGGACTACAGGTATGTGCCACCACATCAGGCTAATTTTGTTTTAATTTTTTTATAGAGATAGGGATCTCACTGTGTTGCCCAGGCTGGTCTCCAATACTTGGGCTCAAGTGATCCTCCTGCCTCTGTCTTCCAAAGTGCTGGGGTTACAAGCATGAGCCACTGCATCTGGCCTCTACTTTTGATATTTGAAAATGTCCATAACATCTAGCCAGAGCAATCAGGCAAGAAAAAGAAATAAAGGGTATTCAAATAGGAAAGGTGGAAGCCAAATTGTCTCTATTTGCAGACGACATGATAGTATACCTAGAAGACCCCATCACCTCAGCCCAAAAACTCCTGAAACTGATAAACAACTTCAGCAAAGTCTCAGGATATAAAATCAATGTGCAAAAATCACAAGCATTCGTCTACACCAATAACAGACTTAAAGAAAGCCAAATCAAGAGCGAACTGCCATTCGCAATTGCTACAAAAAGAATAAAATACCTTGGAATACAACTCACAAGGAACGTAAGGGACCTCTTCAAGGAGAACTACAAACCACTGCTCAACGAAATCAGAGAGGACACAAACAGATGGAGAAACATTCCATGTTCATGGTTAGGAAGAATTAATATCGTGAAAATGGCTATACTGCCCAAAGTAATTTACAGAATCAACGCTATCCCCATCAAGCTACCATTGACTTTCTTCACAGAACTGGAAAAAACCACCATGAACTTCATATGGAACCAAAAGAGAGCCCGCATAGCCAAGTCAATTCTAAGCAAAAAGAACACAGCGGGGGGCATCACACTACCGGATTTCAAACTATACTACAAGGCTACAGTAATCAAAACAGCATGGTACTGGTACCAAAATAGAGATATAGACCAATGGAACAAAACAGAGGCACCGGAGGCAACACAACATACATACAACTATTCAATCTTTGATAAACCTGACAAAAACAAGCAATGGGGCAAGGATTCCATGTTTAACAAATGGTGTTGGGAAAACTGGCTAGCCATGTGCAGAAAGCAGAAACTGGACCCCTTCCTGACACCTTACACTAAAATTAACTCCAGATGGATTAAAGACTTAAACATAAGACCTGGCACCATAAAAACCCTAGAAGGAAATCTAGGCAAAACTATCCAGGACATAGGAGTAGGCAAGGACTTCATGAACAAAACACCAAGAGCATTGGCAACAAAAGCCAAAATAGACAAATGGGACCTAATCAAACTCCACAGCTTCTGCACGGCAAAAGAAACAGTCACTAGAGTGGATCGGCAACCAACAGAATGGGAAAAAATTTTCGCAGTCTACCCATCTGACAAAGGGCTGATATCCAGAATTTACAAACAACTCAAGCAGATTTACAGGAAAAAAACAAACAAGCCCATTCAAAAGTGGGCAAAGGATATGAACAGATACTTTACGAAAGAAGACATATATGAGGCCAACAATCATATGAAAAAATGCTCATCGTCACTGGTCATCAGAGAGATGCAAATCAAAACCACATTGAGATACCATCTCACGCCAGTTAGAATGGCGATCATCAAAAAATCTGGAGACAACAGATGCTGGAGAGGATGTGGAGAAAAAGGAACACTTTTACACTGTTGGTGGGAATGTAAATTAGTTCAACCATTGAGGAAGACAGTGTGGCGATTCCTCAAGGCCTTAGAAATAGAAATTCCATTTGACCCAGCAATCCCATTACTGGGTATATATCCAAAAGACTATAAATCGTTCTACTATAAGGACACATGTACACGAATGTTCATTGCAGCACTGTTTACAATAGCAAAGACCTGGAATCAACCCAAATGCCCATTGATAATAGACTGGATTGGAAAAATGTGGCAGATATACACCATGGAATATTATGCAGCAATCAGAAATGATGAGTTCGTGTCGTTTGTAGGGACATGGATGAATCTGGAAAACATCATCCTCAGCAAACTGACACAAGAACAGAAAATGAAACACCGCATATTCTCACTCATAGGTGGGTGATGAAAAATGAGAACACATGGACACAGAAAGGGGAGTACTAAACACTGGGGACTATTGAGGGGAAAAGGGGAGGGCCAGTGGGAGGGGGAGGTGGGGAGGGATAGCCTGGGGAGAAATGCCAAATGTGGGTGAAGGGGAGAAGAAAAGCAAAGCACACTGCCATGTGTGTACCTACGCAACTGTCTTGCATGCTCTGCTCATGTACCCCAAAACCTATAATCCAATAAAAAATTTAAAAAAATAAAAAAATAAAAAAAAAAAGAAAATGTCCATAACAAAAGAAGCTTTCATAAGTCTGAAACACACAAAATGTTGACACTGATTATATTTACAGGTTGGATCCAAGTGGATTTTCCAGTCCTCTGCATTCCTTTGTTCAGTACGTTTACATTTATACCAATTTTAAACTTTTAGGAAAAGAGAAGCAAGTACAGTCATGCCTCGCCCAGCGACAGAGATAGTTTCTGAGAAGCTTATCAGATGATTTCCTCGTTTTGCCAGCATCACAGAGGACTTACACAATTTGAACGGCATAGCCTGCTATGCACTGAGGCTGCATGGCCTCGCCTGCTGCTCCGGTACTGCAAAGCGTGCAGCATGAAGGCTGCTGAATACTGCAGGCAATTGTAACACAATGGTAAGGGTTTGTGTATCTAAACCTAGACAAGGTACAGTAAAAACACAAAAGCATCACCTTACGGGACCACCAAGGCATATATCAGTGGGCATTAACAGAAAGGTCGTTAGGCTCCACACAACTGTAGGAAAAGCTTTCATTTACTCTTTTCCCACTGTGTGTGGGGGGGGGCGGGGGGGAGGATGTATAACAACCTACATTTATATGCCACTAAATTATTCTGTTTGTTTTATTTTTTATTTTTTTGAGACCAAGTCTCGCTGCGTTGGTCAGGCTGGAGTGCAGTGGCAAGATCTCAGCTCACTGCAACCTCAGCCTCCCGGGTTCAAGCAATTCTCCTGCCTCAGCCTCCCAAGTAGCTGGGATTACAGGCATGCACCACCAAGCCCGGCTAAATTTTGTATTTTTACTAGATACTGGGTTTCACCATGTTGACCAGGCTGGTCTCGAATTCCTGACCTCAGGCGATCCACCTGCCTTGGCCTCTGAAATTGCTTGGATTACAGGAGTGGCCACCACCTGTGGACCCCGGCCCTAAATTCTTCTATTTAACTTTCATTTTAAGTTCAGGGGTACATGTACAGGTTTGTTTATAGGTAGACCTATGTCTTGGGGGTTTGTTGTACAGATTATTTCGTTTTCAAAGAGAATTTGCAAGTATCTCACAAAAGCCTTATCAACATGCTGTAAGATTTTAAGAAGCAATGGTGGAGGCTTGGAGATGTCTCGTCCTGTCCAGTGTCACCCCTAGACCTGAGAATCTGCACGTGGGAGCTTACAGACCCTGTTCTCAGGCTTCACTTGAGACCCCAAGAAAGAAAAAACCCACCTGCCAAAGAGGAGGATGGCAGCCTGGAAGAACGTAAGGAAGCCGGGCGAAAAGGTGAAGCATGATGGCTCCTCTCCCGCTTTTCCTCCCTCCCACTCTCTCCTTCTAATACGAGGCATTGTCCTGGGGAGCAAAGCTGCAGCAGGAATTCTGCGAAGTCAGAGCTGGGGCCCCAGCGGGCGCCGGTGGCCGCGGGAGCGATCAGGTGGCGGGGCTGTGCTCTCCCCGGGCCAGAGCACACCAGGCAGGTCCCCGCGTTTCCGCGCCGCGGCGACACCTCCACGGGCACTCACCCGGGCCGGCCGCTCTAAGCCGAGCGCAGGGCCCCAGAGGAGACCTACAAAGTCGAAGTCGCGCAACTGGAGGCGACCAGCGCGGGGCGAGAGGTCCAGTGGATCCGCGCGCAGAGGGGACTGGAGAGAGTCTGCTCTCGGACGGCTTCGCCCACTCTCTCCGTAGTGTGGACACAGAATCCAATGCACTCTGGGGGTCCTGGAGCACGAGGAGCGCGGAGAACCGGGAGACTCCCGGGCTTGCATGGGTAAGGTCCTGGGGACCCACCGGGCACGGCCCGCGGCGTCCCGAGGACAGGGGTGGCTGTGCGGGGCCACAGCGGCCTGTGGGGCTCCTTCCCCAGCAGGGGTGGGGACTCTGAGTCACGGATCTGTCACTGCTCTGCACCTCTCCGCAGCCCTCCGGGGGCCAAAGCAAAACCGAAAGCGAATGCGCCTGGCGGGACGGCAAGTCCCAGAGCGGCGCTCGCCAGCTCCCCGGGCCTGGGCAGCGCTCGCCCGGGGCGCCCAGCGGGGCCCTGCGAAGCGGCAGCCATGGCCCGGCAGCGGGCGCGCGGCTGCAGGACCCTGGGCCTCCCGGCGCTGCTACTGCTGCTGCTGCTGCTCCAGCCGCCGGCGACGCTGGGTAGGGAACTGGGAGCCGGCGCGCCTGGGCGGGGCTTGGGAGGGGGCCGGAGCATCGGGCAGGACGGAACCGAGAGCCCCATCCGCTCCCCCGGCCGCACGGGGCATCGGTATCTCCGGAGCGCTGTGCGCTCAGGTCCGGGCGGGGGAGAGGGCGCGGCGCCCGGCTGGAGCGACACGTTCGGAGAGCAGGGGTCGCTGGGGGAGCGCGGTGGCTGCACCCGGGTCACCCACGGAAGGGAGCGGGCCGCCGGACTGGGTCCCCGAAGCCGAGGACAGGAGCAATTCCGAGAAGCCAGTTTTGGCCACACAGAGCGGCGGTGCCCAGCAGTTCCGAGACACGCGCAAGTGCGCTTCTCCCAGGCGCCGGGACAGCAGGGCGTGTGTTGCAAGGCACGCGGTCTTCAGAGGGGTCCGGGAGAAACGATCCCTCCCGGCTCCCGGTCAAAAGTAAATTATGTCAGTGGGAGCTCGGAGCCTGCGGAGGAGCTGGGTCCCGGCGGAAAACGCCTTGGGCAAGTCGCATACCTGGGGACCTGGAAACAACTTCCAACTCTTAAGCTACTACCAGGAAACCGGCAGAGGTCACAGGACCGGGTGGGAGCGGGGGATTGGAAGTGGGGGGAGTCTACACTCGCAGGAAAAGCGGGGAAGAAGTCTGGTGATCGCTTTGTGTATTCCAGAAGAATGTGGGTCTTGGAGCTCTGATCTTGGCAGTTAGGGTGGAATAAGAGACTTCTAGAGTTTTGTCCCGGGACCCAGAGGAAGGAGGAGAAACAGTAGCTGCTTCTTCAACTTTTTATAGTCAGGGAGCTCTTGGAGGGTCTGATGAAAAGTATGAACCCCCTCCCCAGAAAGATGCACAAATGCATTTACTTACAAAACATGCATATGATTTTGGGGTCAAAGACCCGCTGAAGGCCATCCATGGACTCCCTATAGGAGTTAGTAACCCCATTAACTATGTGTGTTTTAAGCAAGACCCCCCAATAATTTACACCCAGTCGGGCCAGTCTACCCAGGCCCTGGCCAAAGCCATTCCATGCACTGTCTGCATGGAATGCGGTTGCTGCTGGCTGGTGTGGCCTGAACGCCCCAGCTCTGTGGGGTTTCATGAAGTTTCAGTTTCGTGAGACTCTGGTGCCTGGATTTTCCCCCACATCTGAGAAGCAGAGTTATGTTGGTGACCTGGTTTCTACCTCCCAGCTGGCTAGCAGTGGCACAGGACCCCGATAGCTGGCAACTGGGGCAGCTGCATTACACAATGTGAAGGTGAAATGCAGCCTCAGAGCCCAACAGCCAGGAGGTGTCTTCCTGGAATAGACTGAGTAGATAGGGGAGTACCACTACCAAATCGCTCATCTCAGCTGCACAGCCTTGCTCTTTGACCTTAGAAAGGTGTTGCTGCCTATTCCCTTCCCTTCGCAAAGTTCTCTGTGTATTTCTTTTCCTTTTTTTTTTTTTTTTTTTTTTTTTTTTTGGTGGAGTCTCACTCTGTCACTCAGGCTGGGGTGCAGTGGTGTGATCTTGGCTCACTGCAACCTCTGCTTCCCGGCTCATTTTTGTATTTTTAGTAGAGACGGGGTTTCACCATGTTGGTCAGGCTGGTCTTGAACTCCTGACCTCATGATCCACTCACCTCTGCCTCCCAAAGTGCTGGGATTACAGGTGTGAGCCACCACACTCTGCCGATGTTTCTTTTTAACAGCCTTATTAAGGTATAATTGACAGACAATAAACTTTAAGTTGCATACTAGGATAAGTCTGGAGGTAAATGCATACATACTCATGAAACCATTGCCACAACCAAGAGTGAACACACCTATCACTACCAAAGGCTTCCTCATGCCCTGCACAATCCTTACCTCCCACCTCTCATCTCCAAGGACACCGCCTAACTGCTTTTTTGACACTATCAATTTGATGCATTTTCTAGAATTTTTTTTTTTGAGACACGGTCTTGTCCTGCCACCCAGACAGCGTTGCAATGGCACAATCTCAGCTCACTGCAACCCCCGCCTCCCAGATTCAAGCAATTCTCCTGCCTCAGTCTCCTGAATAGCTGGGATTACAGGTACACACCACCAAGCCTGGCTTATTCTGTATCTTTAGTAGAGATGGGTTTTACCATATTGACTAGGCTGCTATGAACACTAACATACAGGTTTCTGTATGGACACATGCTGTCATTTCTCATGGGTAGAGAATGGTTGGGAGTAGAGTGGCTGTGTTATAAGGCAGGTGTATAATTTTTGTTTGTTTGTTTTTTAGAAACAGGGTCTCACTTGTTGCCCAAGCTGGAGAGCAGTAGCATGATTATAGCTCACTGCAGCCTTGACCTCTCAGGTGTTTAATTTTTAATTTTTATTTAATTATATTTCATTTATTTATTTTGAGACAAAATTTCACCCCATCACCGGCTAATTTTTGCATTTTTAGTAGAAACAGGACTTCAACATGTTGGCCAGGCTGGTTTCAAACTCCTGACCTCAGGTGATCTCCCCACCTCGGTCTCCCAAAGTGCTGGGAGGGTCACAGGTGTGACCCACCACATCCGACCTCGGATGTTTAATTTGTAAAGAAACTGCTAAGCCATTTCCCAAAGTGGTTGTACTGTATTGCATTCCCACAGCAGTGTAGGGAATTCCAGTTCCTTCACACATTTGTCAGCCCTTGGTATGATGAGTCTTTAATTTTAGGCATTCTAATAGGTATGTAGAGGGTCTCTCCTTGTAACTTTAATTTGCATTTTTCTAACAGCTAGTGATGTTAAGCATCTTGTCATGGTGCTTATTTGCCATAAATATACCTTCTCCAGTGGTGTCTGTTTATATCTTTTTTGCTCTTTAAAAATTGAGTTGTGCCAGGTGCGGTGGCTCACGCCTGTAATCTCAACACTTTGGGAGGCCGAGGCAGGTAGATCACGAGGTCAGGAGTTCAGGACCAGCCTGGTCAAGATGGTGAAACTCTGTCTCTACTAAAAAATACAAAAATTAGCCAGGTTCAGTGGTGTAATCCCAGGTACTCAGGAGGCTGAGGCAGGAGAATCGCTTGAACCCAGGAGGCAGAGGTTGCAGTGAGCCGAGATTGAGCCACTGTACTCTAGCCTAGCCTGGGCAACAGAGCAAGACTCTGTCTCAAAAAAAAAAAAAAATTTAGTTGTATCAGCTGGGTGTGGTGGCTCACACCTGTACACCCAGCACTTTGGGAGGCCAAGGCAGGCAGATCACTTGAGGCCAGGAGTTTGAGACCAACCAGGTCAACATGGTGAAACCCATTCTCTACCAAATACAAGAATTAGCCAGCCATGGTAGCCCATGCCTGTAATGCCAGCTACTCAGGAGGCTGAGGGTTTCTGTGCCGGGGAGCATTACTGGAGCTGCGTGGTGGAAAGGTTGCTCTTGTTCAGAGTGTGAAGAACGAACTGTAGTCAGGAGAGTCTGGAGAACAGAGCTGCATTGAGGCTTTTGCCATCATTCTGGTGGGTGGCGATGGAATCCTGAAGGAAGGTGGTGTCAGTGCAGGAGACGGAAGAGGCCAGTATCTTCTCGAGTCCTAAAATTGTAGAATGTATTTTATTATTTTCCTTTTGTTTGCTCTTCAACCTATACCCCTCAACCCTTATGAGCCTCCAAAATCATTATTTAAGGACTTGAACTATGGAGAAATTCACCTGGCACACAAGAGCTGGGTCAGAAAGCTCAGTTAACGAGCCTGAGAGAGAAAAAAAAAAAATTGCCGAGTTTCAGACAGTCAGCTGGAGACTGTCTGTACTTGTAGTGAGCTCCAAAAGGAAGTGTGCTGGCTTGGCTGACATTTCAGTGGGGAAAATAAGGAAGGAAGGTGGTGGGTGACTGTGAGGCCAGAGGCCTTTGCCTTTTCCGTACACCAGCTCCACTGTAAGCTTCCTGAGGGCAGGAACCACGCCCCACACGTCTCTGCCTCCTACTGCCCTTAGCTCCTGCAGACATTTGAAAGGTGCAGTAAGCGAAGGGAATGTTGGAGTCAATTCTGACTCTGCTTCATGGGGCAAGGGCACGCTAACCCTACAACCTCTGAACTCTGGATATGAGACCAGGCCCTGGGTCCCTGCTCTTATTAGACTCTGTAAACCAACCTGCTAGATAAGGGAGTCTGATTCACAAGTTCTGGGAAGCAGAAAGAGGTGTGGCACCATATACTATTTTAGTGACTTCGTTTAAATGATCGTTAAGACTTGTTGTATATGTTTCTTGGCTACTTCAGAGTTTTGAAAGTGCTAGAGCCATAAATTTACTCCAATTTCGATTACTTCATAATTCCATTATCCACATTCAGAAAAGATCTACTATACCAGGCTTAGGAAATGAGCGTGCCAGAGAACTGTAAAAATATGCATACCATCTGCCAGGAGTTTATAATATTGTAAACAAGGTGAGACTTGTTTATATCGAATACCTAGGGAACGATGTTATGAGAGAATATATAGAAACTATAATTGAAGTATCTAAAGATGTGATTGAGGCATGTGGAAATGAAGTTATTGCTTCAATTCAATGTATTATCTCTGGAGGATGGCTTGAGTTCAGGAGTTTGAGACCAGCCTGGGCAACATGGTGAGGCCGCATATCTATGAAAAAAAATTAGCCAGGCATGGTGGCATGCACCTGTAGTCCCAGCTACTTAGGAGGCTGAGGCAGGAGGACTGCTTGAGGCCAGGAGTTTGAGGCTGCAGTGGGGCATAATTACACCACTGCACTCCAGCCTGGGTGACAGACCTAGACCCTATCTCAAAATAAAATAATAATGAAATAAAACAAAATGAAACAGGGGTAGTAGTATCTCCAACATCGTTACGAGACAGTCCAACTTTACAAAGTAAGTAACTGGCCACCACTTGCCTGCTTGGATTGGCTGCAATACAAGCTGATTTGAGTGTACAGCGATATCCAATACACTCAAACGTCAGCTGTTCACCGACTTATCCTGGTTTGAGGACTGATGATGGAAGAACCACTGATA